CTGCCCATGCATCTACTGAAGGCTCAAGTGTTTCCATTTTTCTTTTAAATAATTTCTAATTGGAACATTTGTGAGATGCCAATAAGTCAACAGAGTGAGAATTAGTGAAGGATGCAGGGAGAGAGAGAGAGAGAGAGATAGAGAGGTCAGATAGAGCCTATAGAATTTGGTTTTATAGCCTAGACCCATTAAAATGGGTATAAGGGTATATTGTATTTGTGCGAAATCCAAATGTATGTAACAGGCAGAAGGAAGCTTCTCCGACCACATAAAGTATATATATTCTTGATCAGCATCAATAGCCGAGTCGATCTATCCATGCCCGTCTGTCTGTCCGTCCGTCCGTATGTATGAACGCAAGGATCCCAGAACCTATAAGAGCGAGAGACTATATGTCAAGTTTTATTTACCAAAATTGCCAAAAAAAAACAGGATGTTGATATCGATTTTCATCGATTACTTGGAAATGGAGTAAGCTATCGATTATCGGAAACAAACTCGATCTGCGCGGGAACTAGGAGCATCTACATCTGCAATTTCAAGTCTCTAGCTCTTATAGGTTCTGAGATCCTTGCGTTCATACATACGGACGGACAGACAGACGGACATGGCCAGATCGACTAGACTGTTGATGCTGATCACGAATATGTATACTTTATGGGGTCGAAGATGCTTCCTTCTGCCTGTTACATACATTTGCAAAAAAAAAATTATACCCTTTTTAACCATTTTAATAGGTTCAGAGAGCGCAGACGTGTAAACAATTGCCCTGAATTGAAAAAAACGGTGTTCAAAAAAATTGTTTAACTTATGTTTTAAAGCCAAAAAAAAATTGTATTTTAAGCCGAAGACATATCTTATTCAAAGTTGTATTAATTTGTAAGTCACAATTTTTATACAAATGTATACAGAGGAAAAAATCACCATTAAAATCGGAAAATCAATTTTAAACTATTATCCTTCTTAATAGATAAATTGTATAAGACTATGTGTTCGCTTTTCCAGTATATGTAACTAAAGGTCAGTGCATTGCAAACTGTAAGAATTTTAGATATTAATAATTCAGGATGATGTGTGGTTAAGCTAGAAACTTTTGCAGTTTTGCAATTTTAGGCGCGGGCAAGAATTATAATCTCTTATTAAATGTAAACGATTTTGAAAAACGTGGCAACAAATTATGGACGGACTTAAAATAATGGAAAGGTCGTCCAAATCAATGAGTATTGGGCATAAAGTAGGTAGAACCAGTGTTGGATAATACTTATATTTGTTCATTTAATTTTGTACTACATTTTTTTAAATAAATGTGTATTTGTATACCCTGAACCCATTAAAAATGGATAAAAAAAGTGTAAAACGCATTTGTGCAAATTTAAACCAAAGCAGAAGAAAAACATGTCGACCCTATATAGTATATATATTCTTGATCAGCAGCAATAATCGAATGAATGAACGCAAGGATGGAGTTAGAGACTTGAATCTTCAATCTCGTCGCAGCAAATGCCGAAATGCCGTGAAATGTTTAAGTCTTATCTTAAGGTAACCTACAACTATTTGTGTCTTGTGTATGTCTACAACTTTTTGTGCACTTTGGCTTCCATCAGCTGTCGTCATACAAATTGCAGGTTTTGCAGATGCGCTTCAGCTCCCATCACTTTATCAGCATTAAATTTCATTTTAATTAAATGCAAATTAATTACAAAACTTTATCAAGCCAAGGAAAAGAGAGAAAAAATATATATATAAAATAACAGACTGTATGAAGCAATATTATTACGAAAAGGCTTGGCAATATTTCTGCAAAAATTCCCACAACGACGCACCTTAAGCTAATTAACGCAGCTGCCAGGTGAACTGGGCGAGTTTTATTTTATTTTTTTTTTGCTGGAAAATTTTTGAAAAATCTTGCGCATAAACCACAGCAGAGCGCACAAAAAAAGAAAATGAGAGAAGAAAATGCTGGCGTCGAGAGAAATGCCTTTAGCCAGCAGAGCAGAGATAGAAGAAGAATGCGTTGTCCTTGCAGGTGGCAGTAAAAAATTGTTAAAATTCCTGGACTGGACCGGCAGGCGCCTTTTCGCAGCTCACAGCTCATTAAACGCTTGTCACCAGTTGCCCTCTTCGGTTGTTGTTGTTGTTGTTGCGGCTCCTGCTGATGGAGTTTTTGGGTGCCAGGATAAACCGGTACAACTTAATGCGCCCCTTGGCCGTGCTAAATAGCTTTCATTATTTACTTTATTTTTCGCATACAGCGGACGAAAAAAAACTTTTGGCATTTTTATGGCCAAAAGCGCAAAATGCAGCGCAAGCGAAAGAGAGAGAGAGAGAGAAGGAGAGAGTGCGAGCGAGTAGGCAACAGCAAATAAATGTTATTTCACAGCCTTGCGCCTGTTTAAACTCTATGTGAAATATTTGTATTTTAGTTTTTATGCTCGGTACGCATTTAAATGAAATAATATAATACAAGAGGCGGCACAAACAGATCCAGCTGCTAACAGGGCATCTTTCAGTCGCGCACACCCGACCAGTTTGCTTTTACTAGCTACAGTTTAAGGGTTTAAAGCCGCCCTAAAGGTCCCTGGCCTTAGCCTGGCTATAATAAATCATGACGCATATCAATCAGTCAATCAAACATGCCCCAGAAACTTGTCTACATATTGATTGTGCGCTACAAAAACAACAACAACAATTTATGCCTGACTCAGCATATTTGGCAAAAAAGAAAAAAAAAACAAAAAGCTCAGCTATGCATTTGACATTTTCCGTCAATGATATCAGCAGAAAAAAGAATGGCGAGGAAATAAGGAGCACAGCAAGACATGTGAAAGGACACACGACAAATGCTAAAGCTAAAAAAAAACCAAAGCACATTGTTGCATAGTACACAGAGTCCTGTGCGCCCAGTCCTCATGTTCTCAATCCCATTCCCAACTCATGAGCACAACTTTTGTGCATTTGACAAGTTTTGTTTGCCAAGCCATACGAGCGGACAGTCCATGCCACGCCCACACATGTGGAAATTGCCTAAATGGCCTGATTGAAATGTATTTAGCGATAAGCACAATCAAAAGAGTGCAGGAAACTGTCCAGAAATATACCAAAATTTTCAAATACCAAATAGTTCAGCTTTGGACAAAAGTTGTCGAATTGTAAAAGGATTATTTCAAGAGAAATTGTTTATTTATTTATTTATTTAAAAATGGTCGTCAATGGTTCCTTATTTTTCAATAGACAATGGCAAAGCCTAGTTAGAGAACACAATTTTCTAGCATCAGCGACCGATGGAGAGCCTACATCTAAGCATCTGACACCCTTGTAAGTAGGAAAAAAGTGTTCTTAAGTAAAATTAAAAATAATCTTAATTTCCTATATTAATTAAGAAAATACAATAAATAGGAAAAAAAGAAAGTAAGAAGATTGTTAATAAAGTTAACAAATGTAAGCTAGATATAAAGAGTGTAAAGTAGATAGGACAAAGAGAAAAGTAATGGGAAATCACCGAATCAGTGGGGGAAATAGTTAAAGGAAAGGGAATAAAAAAAGCTAGAAGACCATTCAATTTTTTAGAGGATATCTTAAAGAATGAAAATTGGTTTAGATTACTTTTTATATTATAAATACTAACAATTAACTGGCGTTGGTAAGGCTGTTTAAAAATTTGTTTCTATAATAATCTAACCTAAATTGTAGCATGGGATATTGAAGAAAATCCTTAAACGGCCATAATTCCTAAACTCCTCCTCCTCTAATCTAGTTTAATAAATAGCGATAACAGCACAGAAATGAGCAGATTGCCTGAAAAGCCAGTTAAAAATTCGCAGCTTCAACTTGTTGCGAATTGTAAGCATCAAACATTGAAAATAAGGGAAAATGAAACAAAACAGAGGCTATTTTTTGTATGTTTTGGCCTGGGACCTCGACCGTGCTAGTAAAAGAGCTGCACACTTTATCAACTAATTTCAATTTGTACAGACTGTGTTTGTCTTTTTGTCAATAGCTTAATAAATATTTAATTTAATAAAATTTAATATACATACATTAACTGCACAAATTATTCCCATAAGAATATTTTTTTATAATAAGAATATGCCTATTTTAATATCGACGAATAAGCTTGCCGGTAAAATTTTGGTTAATATTTTTCAGGTCTTTTTAAAATATTTTTTTGGGTTAACAGGAATTCAAATTGAGTTTAATAATATAAAAAAAAAAAAAAAAACAAAAAATAATTGCACATACAAAATTTTGGGAGATTATTCTCGTAATATATTCTAGCAAAAACTTTGTATGATGAGCTCTTAAAAGAAAGAGTTCTTTAAAAAATGTTGATAAGTAAGAAAAATATGCATAAAGTAGTTCTCAAAATCTTATTTCGGGCTTATAAGACTGTTAAAAAAAAGAGAGTAATAATAATAACTTTATAATAATAATACTTCAAGAATTTGATTTTAAATTTGAATTTGATTGAAAGGAAAAGTTCATTAAAAAATGTTTATAATTAAAAATATAACAAAGTACTCTTCAAAACTTTATATTGGGCTTAGAGGACTGTTCAAATAAAAAATTTAATAATATAAAAATAAGTCAAAAAATAATTCTACTGCAAGAATTAGAGGATAATATTCCCGTAAATACAAACTTATGAGCAGTATTAAGAGGAGCTCTTATACGAGTTTTTAAAAAATGTTTATAAATAAAGCTTAATAATAGCAAAAAAAAGTCTAAAAAATATTGTGTATCAAGAATACTACGAAAGGTTATTTAAAAAAAGGTAAAAATTAAGAAGAAGAATAAAATGTGTTTGCCATTATGGTTATTCAAAAAATTATTGTTTACAAAAACAAGATCAAACAAATATTCGTTGTACACATTTTATTAATATGGGGCAACATTTTCTTAACGGAAAATATGCCACAAAAAAGCAAGTCAGAACAGTTCAAGTTAAGAGTTCAGAGCTGGTAAATCTTCTATATTTTATATTTTTAGAACTCTTGGCTTACCTTTAGAAAGTCCAAATAAATGCAATAAGCAATATGTTTAAGTTGAGTTTTGGGTAAATTATATTTCTTTTTGTATATTTGCTTTAACAAAACTTCAAACGGTTTCACGCGTTTTGCAACACTTTAAAACCTTGTTGATAATTTTTGCGCATTTCTTCTTTTCGTCTGCTTTCGCACAGTTTGGCAAACAAATTTAATGCAATTTGCTGTTGTTTTCATTTAGATTCGTTGGAGCGAGCCGCATCATGCGAGTGCGAGCGTATTAGAAGGCGTGTAAGAGAAAGAGAGGGGGGGCAGAGTACTATAACGGTATGGGTATTACTTGTGGGTTTTTGTTTTAGCGTCGTTTGTCGTTGCTTGTGACTTTTATTCGTTGTTTCTTATCTTATTTCGCGTATCACGGAACTCGTTAAAATCACCTTAGAACACGTGACTGCACGTCATGCACAAGCTCACACACACACATGCAGTTCTGAAGCAACAGCGCCGCGAACACACACACCCACACACACACGCTGGCAGCAAAAACAAAGTGTGCCGTTAGGTCGATCGCCGGTCCGTTGTACCTTGGTTCAGCTGCTGTTGCTGGTGTTGTTGCTGCTGTTGCTTGATGCTTCGTCTTCTTCTCCTTCGCCCGCTTCTTTTAGCTGCTCAGGTGCAATGTCAAAAACACAAAAATCTGCACACGACTCGCTGCGGGAAATTGCAAATATGCGCACACACAAACACACACACGCACACATATACACTAATATACTGCGTAGCAACGTGAGTTACAATTCGCGTATTTGTTGGCTGCAGTTTGTTGCTTCGCTTCTGCTGCTGTCCTCTATACGCGCGACAAAAAAACTGCGACGGAGCTGAAACGCAAAATAGTCCTCACGCAAGGGCAACGCAATGAAAACTGAGCTAAGAACTCGCAAGCCGTTTTCCGAGTTGTGTCGCTTCGTGTCCTTTGCACAGAATTTGTACAACGAAAACGGCGGCCGAAGCGTCTCACATGCTTCGGCTGGCAGCACGAAGCACTGTACGAAGCTGCATTCGGCTTGTTGCCTAACAAACGCATCCAACGAGAGCAGTCTGTCGGCGGAAGAGTGGGAGAGCGAGAGAGAGTGTGCCGTTTTGGTTTGGAGCGCTTGGTCGGTTAAGTGTGTCAACAGGGGCAACAAGTGAGGGGCGTGTTTATGGCTTGTGGTGAGCAAGCAGTTCAGATGCAGGTGCAACATTTTATGCCTTTGTTGCAATTTATCTTATTGGCAATTTACGGCCAATAAGCTGATAATGACTTTCAATATTTCAGTTACTAAGCACACATATAATTTTCAAATAAAAAAACATACATTTGTATGCATATGTTCATGTATATGTATATTTATACACAACGGGTTTCTTAAAATGCGGTTAAGTTAACGGTTATGCTTATTTTGAAAGTTTCTAAGTATAGAGATGATAATCTTAAATATAATTCTTACTAGGCACGATTTCCTCATTGATATTATTTCTGCAACTATTTTGAATTCCTGAAGCTACCAACTATATATTCGCTCACTCCAGTTTTGTTTACACAATATCGAACTGCTTGATATATAAGGAGATTTTAGAACTGCTTGCATTTCCACCAACCTTCCCCTTAGACAAGTAAAAACACCGCGCATTTCCCCTTCTAAATTGCTGCTTCTGTGCCTGTATACTGCTTGATGTCCCATTTAAAACAACTGCTTGCGCAACGGATACACTGCTTTATCGATTAACCTCACACACATGCAACTCGATTATTTAAATAAAAATAACAAAATAACAATGTAAAATAAGAATATAAAATAATACAATTTTAGTAAACTACATAGAATATTAAATCAATGAGAAACAAATCGGACGAAACTTAAAACTTAGCACAAACAATCTTTGAATCGTGGTTTCCACAGAGGAATCTTGGATGCGGTGAAAAGTCTGAAATACATCTGAAATGATTTTAAAAAAATTGACTAAGCAACATTCTTTTATTAAATGATAATAAATAAATTAAAATATATATTATTATCAAAAATAAGAAAAATAAAATTTTATTAACACAAATATGAAATAAATAAAGTAATACAATAACTTATAATAAATATAAAATTTAATTGAATAAAAAATAAATAAGAATAAATATAAAAACAATCAAAAGAACATATTTTATAACATGAAATGCGAAATTAATAAAATAAAATTGAATGGTCAGAAAATTTTAAATTTTAAAAATAATAACAAAAAAAATTATATTATAAAAAATAAAAATATTAAATGAGTTTAATTAATACAATAAATAATAATTAAATTTACATTTGAAAATAATTATTTGCTAACAAATATTCACTAAAAACAATCTATTATCAAATTATTAAATAATGATAAGTAATAATGAAATAATATATAAAAAAATATATAAAACTGCAACAAAAGCTTTCTTTTAAACCTTTTATATTAGTTTTTATAGCCTAAAATAAAAATATGATTTATATATTGTAAATTGTAAGTTTTATTCTCAAAACAATATAAAATTAAGTTTTCTATTTGACATGTGTGAGCAGCTGGTTCCGGTTCCGGTTCCAGTTCCGGTTAAGCTTGATGTGAGCAGCTGGTTCCGGTTCCGGTTCCGGTTAGTCTTGAATAATCTTGATGTGAGCAGCTGGTTCCGGTTCCGGCTCCGGTTAATCTTGATGTGAGCAGATGGTTCCGGCTCCGGTTCCAGTTCAGGTTAATCTTGATGTGAGCAGCTGGTTCCGGTTCCGGTTCCGGCTAATCTCGATGTGAACATCTGGTTCCGGTTCTGGTTCCAGTTCCGGCTAATCTTGATGATCTCATAATTCGTATTGGCGCCCCACATTTCGTGGCATCATGTGTTTGTGGTGTTGTAAAGTTTATCGAGTCGCTGAACTCGCCCCGTTCGAGTTGTTATCCTTGGGCTGGCCGTTATCCTAGTTGGCCGATGAGGATGCTAATGACTTTATTGTCTCCAGTTGTCTGCATAATTTGTATTATTTCTAGCACAGACTCCGACACAAGGCTTGCCAACTGGCAGACACGGATGAGTTGTGCGTGTGTGTTGGCTGGTTGGGCGTGGTGGGCGTGGCAGGCTAATGAACTGGAAATGTGTTGTTCCAGTTGCTGCGGCCACACATACACACACACACACACACACACACACACACACATCAGCATAATTGCAATTTTTATGATTATGACATTTTGCGCTTCAAGTGTTTTGGCCAATGGCAACCAATTTCCGTGTCCACGTTTTGTTGAGCCCGTTGGTCCTTTGGCCGTGAATGGCAACTGGTTATGCTTCTGCTGCTTCTTGTTCCTTTTCTTCCCTATTTGATTTACAATTATGCAGCTGAGCCTTTTGGCGCAGACAGAAAGTCGCCTGGCAGGACATTTTGGCAGTGCATCAAACTGGGAACTCCCGAAAAGGCAGTTCAAATAGTTGCCTAAATGCAAATAGTTATGCTCTGATTTATAATATATACATATGTGTTATATGTGCTTGAGATTATATATGTGTGTCAATGTGAGGAGAGTTGGGCTCAGAGACAAATTGGTTTAAGCATTTATCGCTATTCAAATATTTGACGCATTTGAGAATCGTTTTATTATATTATCTTATCAAATTAATAATATCATAGAAATATATATATATATATATATATCAAGGATATAGGGTCGATTTAGGTGGTGATCAAGCATATATATTTATGTTTACTCTGGGCACAGAGAGACCTACACACATATAATTTAAGCTCTCTCTATCCATTATCAATCATTTTATTTTATATAATTTTTTTAATATGTTTTTATCATTTTCATACAAATTAAGTGAAATTTATGACAACTTTAGTTTGCAACAAAATATAAATTTGATTTTAAGATATTTGTAGTAAAACTATCGCTGTCAAGTCTTCAAGTCAACGTCCAGTGCCATCACTAAATAACAGGCTCATAAAATAGGTAACTGTTTCTTCGAATTCTTATTACTGCCACTCCGTGCACACGGAGAGCGCGTGCTAGAGGCGACTCATTGAGTAATAAAGAGAAAGAGCAGGCGTTTGGATCAAAAGCTCTTTTTAGAAAAACTTCCTGAGCGAAAACGAGGTTGCAAACTAAAATTGCAAACACATCACCCGGCTGTCTGCAGCTACTTCTGCCAATGCTCACAATTCAATGACAAATTCAAAACATTTTCCATAAGAAACAACAACAACCATAATCAAATCAAACGACTCGATAATGAAAAAAGCACACCACAAATTCTGTCCTTGCTATCCCTTTTTGTTTGAGGCTACAGTCTATGATCTTAGCTTCTGCACCCTTCTAACTCATTGTTGTGGTTTCTAAGCACTGCTATGCCTATAATTCGCAAAGTCATGTCTTCTTCTTCTCCACTCGCTTTCAACTTGCAAGCAGATCGGCAGATTTTTATAACTTTTCATTTTTCGACCAGCAAGGCAACTTTTCTCAAAATAGGGTATTTTAACTATTCATAAGCAATGTAACCAAATAGCACAAACCATCTTATACATACAGTTTTATTTAATGTCTATAAAAAATATAATTTTGTATTTAGTGTGCAACTATTAGTACAGTCAATAATAATTGTTTTCTTTATAAATGATATACCATTTTTATAAAAAAGAGTATCAATGCCGCGACCCGCCAAATATTTGTTTATGTGTGTCCCATCTCACACATATTGGTGCAAATTAGCATATATGTATGTGTCTGTCAAGCCAAGGGAAGTCTGTGAATTTAAGAAGATTGCAACGTTCTGTTGCGCCTGTGACGTCACAGTCCAAGGCTTTTCATGTGCGATCATTTTGCATATAAAATTATAACATATGTCAACAAACTATTTTCTATAAAAGACCCCATTCATAAGTTATTTAAATGTACGTAATAAAGGTAGAAATATATACTAAACATCACAAGAAATAAAATTCTACTAACTGTGACATCATAATATATGATGTTGGGCGCCGTGCGCGTAACCCTTTGATCTGAATGCCATGGCTTGCTGGCATTCAAATGTTCTACCTACTTGCGCCGAGACTCGGCTCTGCAACAACAACATTAGAACTCAAATAGTGTTGTTGTTGTTTCTACGCGCCGCCTTGTTGGAACGACAGAGAAACCAGCAACAAACACAGTGGCATTATTTGTCCCTTTTCTTTGCACTGAGTTTCCTATGTCCTCATCATCGCGCAGAAACTTTTGAAGATCAAGACGGACGACGAAAAAAACAAACGGGTTTTCATGCGCACTGTTGTTGTTTCGCGAGTGATTTGTTGTTGCTTCGTATAGTAAAAGAGCTTTATTTTTGAGTTTGATTTTGCGTTTGCGGACCATCCCAATCTACCTCTCGGGATTTTCAAAACGGTAAAAAAAGCTCGGAGTGTGAATTCAGCTCTGTCTCTTTATTACTCAATGGCATATATACATACATATTTCGCTTAAAATATAAATACAACATAATCATTGGCGAGGACAAGGTACCAAGAAATTTCTTGGGATAGGTCATAAAATAACTTTGTTGCCGCATACGAAGAACCAAATTGGTCGACGACCGATCGTGCGCTAAATGCCGAGGCACAGTCAGTTTATGACTCCCCTCCCTCGCCAACAAGCGACATCTTCAGCGTCACAACGACACGTAAACTTTATATACATACATACATTCGTACGTAAACAAATTGTTTTATAAGTATCAGTCATTATTCCTCAATGCTCAATGAGTATCAGTATGCACTCACCCGAATT